AATGTTCAAAAAGTAAATTTAGTATTAAGTATAGCAACACATTACAGAAAGCATCAAGGCCCCAATTACAGCTTCAAAAAATTCTGCAATTAAAAATCAGTACCATTATCATCAAACCTTCCTTTCGTTTTGTTATCTACTAAAGTACTAATTTTAAAATTATCATACATTTTTAATCACACTAAATAACCAATGTCTATAAAATACAGTAAGTCAATTATAAATGTCATCTTTACTCCCAACTTTTCCATTAAAAAAATTAGTAGCACATACACGAAGCAGAATCATGTTATAATTAATAAGTACATTAAATACTGAGAAATTCTGTGTATTTCCTTTCTAAATATAATAAATATTGAAATATTTAATAATAAATATTGAAAATAAATTGTTCCAAAAAATGCTTGTTGACTTAACACTCATTTACTTACATTTTTAGATACTAGGAATACAGATACATTTTTAAGTAAAAATTAGTGTATCATTAAATACTAGATTTGATAGTCTATATGCAAATAACTTATTTGATAAGCATTAATTATATTATTAAATAAATGGAATTCTGAATATCGGACTCCAGAACTATCACAATAGCTGCCAAGATATCTGCATGTAAATTAAAATCACAAAAAAAGAAGAAAATTCAGTTTTATTTTTTAGAAGTCTAACTCTACGGGTAATAATCAGTAATATTTTACACATTGCGGTTGCCAACTTTATTTTCAGTTTAGAATGTCTGCAACATATTAAGCCCATCTCTATTAACAAAACAAAGCAATTATATTTTAAAAATACTTTTTATTTGGATGACAGATTTATTGAGTCAATTCTGTCTTGAAGAATTGCCATGATTTTATATCACAGAAAAAAAATGTATTTTAAAAATTAGGAGAGGAGATTCTAATAGAACAGCCAGACCAGTACATGTCTCCTGGCAAATGAAAATAAAACATAGTGGGTTTATAAATTAATATAAATAACCCTGATAGTTTGAAACATTACACTTTCATGGCACATTCCACATTTTCAAATGACATAAAAAGTCATTTAGAACAAGGAATCATTTGTAATAATCACTTTTTTTCTTCAAATGTATTAGCTTTTTAAAATTTATTAATAGAAGGCTGCATATTTCTGTTCAGGAAAAAAAGCTTCCAGGAGACACCACTTTTTAACTTTTCTTTTTATTCTACCCTTGTAGACTTAAAAAGCAAAACATAAACCTAAAGAAACTAAAAGGTGGTAAGCCAGAAGACTTAGAACAATCAAAACATCCACAAGAAAACATCTGCACAGAAATCACAAGCACTTAATAAGGAAAGTTTGGCACAACAAATACTTCTAGCCCAAATGATCCTTGGTTAGAAATTCAAAAAACAGATTTTCAATCTCCTAAAAATTGAGCCATTAATATATTTCTATTCAATGTAATGAAGATTATATTATGCTAATTAAAATTTATTATAGTTCTTGACTCTACTAATTTAGATTCTTCAACCACTTGCCCTCTCCCTGTCCTCTCCCTCCCCAAAATACTCATGCTGGTATCTGGACAAAGTAGATTATGATTATACTACTTCCTAGGGAATTCCATTTGAAAAAAAATCTACAGAAAACTAAGGGAGAAAATAAAATAGAAATTCGGGGCTGGGGGGGTGGTGTTTTTCCCTGCACTACAGAAAGGTGAGAGGGAGTGAGGGTTCCTTCAACAGAGCACAGTGGGAAAAATATATTTAAGAAGTAAGTTGTGGCCCACGCCTGATGGCTCACGCCTGTAACCCTAGCATTCTGGGGAAGCCCTGGCGGGAGGATCACTTGTGCTCAGGAGTTTGAGACCAGACTGAGCAAGAGTGACACCCTGTCTCTACATAAAATAGAAAAAATTAGCAGGGATGGTGGTGTGTGCCTCTAGTCCCAAGCTACTTGGGAGGCTGAGGCAGGCAGATGGCTTGAGCCCAGGAGTTTGAGGTTGCTGTGAGCTAGGCTGATGCCCCAAAACTTGCCCGACAACAGAGCAAGACTCTGGCCACCCCCTACTAAATAAATAAATAAATAAATAAATAAGTTGAGAACAGGCTAGCTGAGTAAATAAATTCAACTAAAAGAAAAAAACTGTAAAAAGGAATGTTTGCTTTTGCTGCATATCAGGAAGAGTAGGAGGAGGAAGCAGATTAAACAGAGAGATGAAGCCAAGTATTGGAAACAAGCACAGGCCTACCTAGCATGGCCTGATCACGTCATGTACCATGAGCTCCATGGTCCATAATCCAGGGCTCTCTTCATTTGGCTTCAACTTCTTCATAAAAAAAGGTGAGAATATTAAAATGTGTTTCTCTACAACTTCTACGTAACAGTCTTAGTTATGTGCATAGTAATAAAAAACAATCTAACTGGCATTAGCTGTAAATGGGCAAAAGACACCTTATTGATGGAAATGTTCTATACCTAGATTGCAGTAATGGTTGCTCAACTCAGGAAATTTACTAAATATTATTAAATTGTTCACTTAAAACAGGTGAAGTTAATGGCAAATAAAGTTGTTTAAAAAAATCTCACTCTTTTTTATGATAGCTCTTCCTTAAGATAAAAAAAAAGCCCAAATGCCTCCATATAATATTATTTTTCAATTTATTTATACTCCAGTTTGTTCAGTGGCCTTGTTTAAATGTGGAATACAAAACTAAACACATTATTTCCAGTGTGCTTGAATTGTACAATGGGCTTACTACTAGCTGGCTTGGTATATTTTACTCTGGTAAAATAATATTCATAAATATCTGTAAAATATTCTGTGGCAAATACTGTGATAGATAACACAATAAGACTCTGGTAGTTTAAGATTAAACAATCATAACATAGTTTTATTATATAAAATATAAACTAATAAAATACCTTGACTTTTTTTCCCCAACAATCAACTGACAAGGAAATTTACTCCCAGATTGTACTTTTTCTAATTTTTTACTTAAAAATTAACATTAATGAAAATTTAAGAAAAGAAAGAAAAGAGGGAAAACAAAAATCATAGGTCTTCTGGCATATTTATTTCCAGCATATTTTATGTGAGTAATATAGTCATATTGGGAAAAAATAATATCTGTTTCTATGGCCATCCTTCCCAAGTCCAAGAAATACTCTATTTAATACTCTCTGTGACAGAGTCTATTACATCACCCTGTTTTAGTCCCCTCTGTTCTCACCACTATTTGATGGATTATTTTAAATTTGGTTATTTTTTATTGTTTACTTTACCTTATTAGAATGTAGTCCTCAAACATATAGGCTCTGTTAACTTTCATTCTCTTGGGAGCTCACCTAGTTCCACAGTTTAAAATTAATTTCACCTATATGTTGACAATTCTCAAAATTGTACCTGTAACCCAGACTTTTCAAACTCCTGGCCTTAAGTGATCCTCTGGCCTCGGCCTCCCGAAGTGTTGGGATTACAGACATGAGCCACAACACCCGACCATTCTAACCCAGACTTCTCTCCTGAATTCTAGACTTATATGTATAATGCACACAGACACATACACACACGAACTTCCATTACATATGCATTGCATACATATGTCTCTTTATTCTACACATCCAAAACCAAATTCTGGACTCTACCTATTACCCCACCAATCTTACCCATCCAAAACCTTTCCCATCTCAATTCATGACCAATTCATTCTTAGACAGTCATCTTTGACTCCTCTCTTTCTCTCACACTCCACACCCATTCCATCAGCACATTTTATTGTCTTTGTCTTCAAAATACATCCAGAATCTGACCAACTTCTCTTCATCTTCACAGTTAGCATCTTGGTCAAGCCTTCAATAATTCTCACTGTATTATTGCAGTAGCCTTCAAACAAGTTCCCTTTCTACCATTTCCCCACCCCCAATTATAATCTATTTTCATATTTCTGAGTGATCTCTTTAAACATAAGGAAAGTCAGTTCAAACCCCTACTATGGCTATGTTTTACTCAAGAGTAAAAGCCAAAATCACTTCTACAGACTTTTGTTACCTCTGACCTTCTCTCTTGCTACTTCCTCTTTTGCTCACTCTCATTCAAGTCTTCTGTATTTTCTAAATGTTTTCAATAAGAACTGCTTATTAACAAAAAGGAAAGTTTAAATGATAAAACTATGAATGAGTAATCTGCCTTTTTACCCCAATGCTTAGTACAGAATTAAATAACACGGTCAAGTCTTTAGAGGAAAAACAAATTTTATGACAAGAGCTTATAGTGCCTTGAATGCCTATATGCCTGATGAAGACCTTAAGAAACAGGGTTCTCAAATAAATAGTATGGTGCAGTAGAACAAGTTCTGGTTTTTATACTGAAATAGATTCCTTAAACCTTCTATTACTTACTAATTGTGATACCCTAAGTCAGTATTCTTTCTGATTCACAGCTTTCTTATGTGTATAGAGGAAGAGTTTAATCTGTAAAACTATTATAAACTCGGTGCTCTACAAGAGAAATACCTATACATAGCTACCAAAAATACATCTAGTAAGGCTAATTCCTAAAAATGTTATTGAACATTCTACATTCATCTACATATACAAGATGACAGAGAAGCACTCAAAATACTACAGATGTTTGAAGCCTGGTTGAAGACTCAATTTTACACAATTTTTAAAGAAAACATCTGGGAGGCCGGTATGTGTAGCCTAGGAAGCAAACCAAAAACAGAGAAGTGGGGTGGCTCACTCTCTAGGAGCTGCAAGGGCAAAGAAGCCACAAACCTAAGGTTTCTAAAAAGAATAGATTTCAAATATTCAGACTGTGTGTGTATCTCCAACCAAGGTTGGGGTCAGATGGCTCCAAATGGTGCAGGGTAGAAATCTGTGAAGACTGACTTGGGAACCGATCCTGGCTGTAACAAACCACCAGTTAGGACGAATCGCCTAACTGAGAAAGTTAGACACTAGCTTGTAGTTTCGTCTTCACCTTAGTGGGTTGGTTGTAACAATTTTGCCACCCAACCTGAACCACTCACCGGGTCTATGAGGCTGTAAAGCCTTATGAGTTGGGAACAGGAGGCCCCGACCCGACGCAGTCCGACAAATCGCTAGGTGGCCATCGGCTCCAGAGACCGTTACTAGGGAAACGAGGTGAGGCTCAGGAATCACCCCATCCCGACTTTCCTAGTGCAGGCCAAGGCGCTCTGGGGGTGTGGTTACGTGAGTGACGCAGAAGGGGCGGGGCAGAGACGCCCGGACCAAGGGACGCGTTACATCCCAGGGCGCATGCGTGCTGTGCGGAGGCGGCTATGGCAGCCGTTAGGGCCTCTTCAGAAGTATCGCTGCGAGAAGCCACTCAACGAAAATTGCGGAGGTTTTCGGAATTGAGAGGTACGGAAGAAGGAACCGGAGTTCTCTCGGTTAAGGGAGCGGAAGGGTGCTTTACGGTCTAGGAGGTTTGCTGGGCTGTCAGTTCCTGTTTGCTTCTCACCTGCAGGCTTGGGTCACTGGACCAGGAAGAACTTGCTAATATTCCTTTTGAGTTTTTTATTCTGTCATTCTCCCTTCTTTACATTTAGTGTGTTACTTTTAACTTTGTTCCTAGTAGTATAGATTTCAAAATAAGAGAGGAGAAAGGAGAAGAAAGAAAATTAACTTGACAAGTGAAGTTAGCTTGTTAATAAAGGCTATTTTAAATAAATCTAAAAGATCTGAAGCATAGCGTTTTGACCCTTAGAAGTGATTGAATTTACCCTTCCCTTGCCTACTCACCTACCTACTTCTCCAAGTTGTTCCGTAATGTAAACACTGGGGAGGGGGATATAACAGGGAGGAATTAGGGATTAAAAATGAAAAAGCGGAAGTTTGATATCAAAAAACAGGCTCTGCCACTTGTCATTCCCTGTACAATTGTCTAATAAAGGTGGTTATATATTTGATGTAATGACTGCTTAAAAAATACAGGGGCTAATACTTAGTTAACAGTAAAATGTTCAGGACAATTAGATTCTAGCTAACAAGTCCTGTTTGTTAACTAATAAAAGCCCGTACTAATCTTGTTTATCAATAAAAAAGAGATTCTAACTGTTTACCAAAAGTGCAGTCCATCTTTTAATGACTTCATCAGGAAATTGGGACTTTATTATCAAGTATTTTGTCATATTCTAATAGACTAATATGACAAAATGAGGATTTGTCATATTAGAGTGTGAGCTTGCGTGTGAGCTTGCATGGCTGGTCTTAAAGTAGTAAAAAAATAAAGTACCTACATTTATAAACATCATTATTGAAGGAATGGATCCTTGGATTGAATGTTTCTTAGCCAACAAAGTGGCCCTGAAATATGAGAATTGATTTTAAAAGCTGGAGATACATTTATTTATTTCTTTGTCTCCTCTTCTTCTTTAAGAATTGAGATTATAATCTTGGACAAGTTAAAATTACCTCTCAATCAAGAAATATATCTCTTAAAATTTCTAAATAAATGGGATTGTAGACCATAAAAGGAGGGAGTACTCTAAAAGAGAGAGGAAAAAAAAAGTGAGCAATCTCCATTAGAACTATTTGGAATCATACTAATGGGACATTAATTATTCCCTAATTCTCAAATGCAGAAGATACATTTTTGAAGATGATAATAAATATTAACCTTTTTTTTCCTTCTTTCCAATTAGACAAACATGTAACAGCTAGAGAATTCTGATAATTTTTCTTATTTCCTTGCTTCTTCCAAATAGGCAAACCAGTGGCAGCTGGAGAATTCTGGGACATAGTTGCAATAACAGCAGCTGATGAAAAACAGGAACTTGCTTATAAGCAACAGCTGTCAGTAAAGCTGAAAAGAAAGGAGTTACCCCTTGGAGTTCAATATCACGTTTTTGTTGATCCTGCTGGAGCCAAAATTGGTATGCATTTTATGGTCAGGTTTATAACATAGGTCCTGAGTAGAATAATCATTGAAGAAAAGCTTTTCTGTGGCTTACAGTTTATAAGCTGCATATCCCCACCCAAGTTTAAAGTATAAACTTTAAAACTTGAATGTAAATTGACATTTTTCTAAGAAAAAGTCATAGCAACTGTTCTTACCCATTGTGATTTACTTTGAATACTTCCAGAATGTTATTTAAAAGATAATTTTATTAGCTTTAATAAAATTTAGTCAGATGGTGAATATCCCTTTGTACCTTATCAGTAGGGCCCTTAAGGTCCCTCCCCACCCCACAGAGTCTTCAGAAACTTGCATGAAGAAAGCAAATCAGTCAAAAAAAAAATACACACTTAGCCTCTGGGGCCACAACACAGAATGCAAAAGAACACAGTCTAATGGCTTAAGTATTATATTTATTTTAAAACCCCAGTTTTGGTCAACTTTGCTCTTTGACCTCCATTGTAAAGAAAAATAGATGCTATTTTCCTGAAGGCTGTTTTCCTTGTGATACTTAAAACTGAAGACACTTGATACCAGAGATATGGTATCGGTATATGGCATTAGCATTGGTCTAATTAGCCAATGCTGTTTTAATCCTCACAAATACAAGGTCAGTACTTTTATTATTCCCATTATATAGATGGAATTTGAGATACTGAGACTTAAATAATTTGCCCAAGATAATTAGTGTGGTGGTTATATTTAAGATGATTTTTGGAAAACCAGGTTCTAAAACTCTTTTTAGAATGGAAATCCAACTTGTATCTTCAATTATGTCATGTGGGAGAATTATTTAAGTGGACTTTTTGGTTTGTAACTCAATATGAATCTTTATACTTAACAGTCTTCTAGTGTTACAGGTTGTGTAATTTATCGTTCCTTCTGTTTTTGTTACTGTTTGGGAGAGAATATTAATTCATCATTTATTACTGAGGGCTGCTCTCTGGGTTTCATTACTAATTGTTTATTTGCTATGGGATGTATTTAATTTTATTCTTTTGCCAATACTTTTTGTGTGTGTCTCCCTAGTTAATTATACCCCAAAACCACAGCCTTAAAGTTATAACTTCTAAATTTACCATCATTACAAGGTGTTATTAGGTTTCTATGAAATAAACTGTACTTTCTAACTTTACCTTTAAGGAAATGGAGGATCAACACTTTGTGCCCTGCGATGTTTGGAAAAGCTATATGGAGATAAATGGACTTCTTTTACCGTCTTATTAATTCACTCTGGTAAAGTTATACTTTACTAATTTACATTTTCTTTTGAGTGTCCACCTCTGATACCTTAGGGACTTTTTTCTCCCTGGCAAATACTTTACTCTTCTTTTTTTTTTTAATTCTTTGAAGTTACTCTGCTTTAAAAAATATTTCATGCTTTTCTTGGTGTCATTAGGTGGTAAGTAGCATAGTGATTTTCACAAAATTTATCCTTAAAATTGTAGATCACATACATCATCAACTTTTCATGGATATTGTTTTGTTTTGGTATACATATAGAAAATTATTTCCCTAAGACAGAACTCATTCAAATGTGAACATTTCTGAGGAATGCTTTAGAGGGGATTCTTGCTTCAGGAGAGAGGCTGATTTAGCACTGTTGTTACTAGACTTTTGCCTAAACTTTCTGTCTTGCATTTTTGTCTGATTATTGGTAGCCAAAGGCTAGAATGCTTAAAAGAATTTTAAAACTTAAAGGAAATAGTGGCAAGGTATGGAGTTGACAAGTAAGTATATTAGGGAGAAATATATACACAAAAGAGGACATTTTAAAACAGAACAATAGGAAGGACATAACCTCAGAAAAATGGATAATTAAATCAAATACACTTAGTTAGTTATATGAAAATTTTGGTTACATGAAAACCTCTATTATTTTTCTCTGTATGCTAGAGGCCTGGTGAAAACTTTGTCATGGACTGACACCAGTCAGGGGACAGGGATTTTAGAACTCATCTACATGACTTCCAAGGCACTTTCCAGTTCTTATGATTCATATACAAAACAATGATTTTTTGTAAAAATGATGTCAAAGCATCCAAGTTCTGGTTTTAAGATGAAAAATGTAAAAAAAATTCCAATTTATAATTTTATAGTAATTTTATTATTATTACCAGTTTAGTAAAAATTAGACACCAGAAAACACATAGTTAGATAATTTTAAACTTTACTATTGCCTAGTCTTTGGAAAAAGAAAAATAGAAAGTTATTATTAGCTCTCATTTGTTGAACAATGTGCAATGTACCAAGTGCTTTACAGGTATTATTGAGCTTACGAAAGCATTTTCAATGCAACACCTTCCAAAGGTAAGTAGTATTCTACATTTGCTGACTGGGAGTAAATCCAAAGATAAACAACTAAAAAGTGGTGAACCAGGTTTGAACTCATTTTTGTCTGACTCTTTCTAGTATGTAGCGCTGCTTCTCACTATAGTTACATAAAAATTATGGAAGATATTTGATGCACTTAAGAGAACATGCTTTTCAAGGAATTAAGAAGTTATAAGGCTCAATTTAGAAGGGAAAAAGATGTTTAAGTTAAAAACAAATATACATTTTAAAATGCTTTTAAATAAATTTACTGTCTTTAAGTGTAGATAATAATTTGAGAAATGACACTGCAACTAGAATTTAGTGTTTAATAGATAATTACATATTCATGTATGGCTTAACCATAGACATACATTCTGATAAATGCATTGGTAGGTGATTTTGTCCTTGTGTGAATATGAGAGTAGTTACAGAAACATATGTGGTATAGCCAGTTGCTCCTAGGCTGCAAACCTGTACAGCATATTACTGTACTGTAGGCAATTGTAACATGATTGTATTCGTGTATCTAAACATATCTAAACATAGAAAAGGTACAGTAAAAATACCATATAAAAGATAAAAAATGGTACACTGATATAGGGCACTTACCACGAATGATGCTTGCAGGACTAGACATTGCCCTGGGTAAGTCAATAGTGAGTGGTGAGTGAATGTGAAGGCCCAGGACATTACATCACTGTAGACTTTATAAACTATACACTTAGGCTACACTAAATTTATTTAAATATATATTTTCTTTCTTCAATAATAAATTAGCCTTAGCTTACTATAACTTTTTTACTTTATAAACTTTTATTTTTTTTAAGTTATTAAGTCTTTTGTAATAACACTTAGCTTAAAACACAAACACATTGTACAAGCTGTACAAAATATTTTCTTTATATCCTTAGTTTTTATATATTTTTTTTTTACTTCTTAAACTTTCTGGTTAAAACTAACACTCAAACATACATTAGCCTAGACCTACACAGGGTGAGGATCTTCAATATCACTGTCTTCCTCCTCCACATCTTGTCCCACCAGACTTTAGGGGCAATAAAACACATGGAGTTGTCATCTCCTATGATAACAATGCCTTTTTCTGCAATACTTCCTGAAGGACCTGCCTGAGGTTGTTTTCCAGTTAACTGTTTGTAATAAGTAGAAAGAGTACACTGAAATAGTAATAAAAAGTATGACATAGTAAATATATAAACTAGTAACATAGTCATTTATTATCAAGTACTATAAATATACTAAGTGTATGTGCGATAGCTTTAGATGACTGGGAGTGCAGTAGTTTTGTTTACACCAGCATTACTATAAACACAAGATGTATTACTACAGCTATGATGTCACTAGGTGACAGGAATTTTGCATTGTAATGCATTGTAATCTTATGGGACCACCATTATATATGCTGTCCATTGTTGAATGAAAACATTGTTATGCAGTGTATGACTATATTTTGGAAGTGGCATATTCATTTTTTGTAACTTTCCCTATGAAGTGAATTCTTAATATAGAAGTCTAACATGGTTGAAATTTAATGTTTAAATGTAGATGCATGATCATGTTTTAGCCCATGGTCCTTTTTATTTGTTATACATTTGATTCAAAACAATTCACAGGCGGTACAGTATATTAGAATTCGTTCTTAACCTGGAATTTTTAAAACTGCATTATATCAAATGGCTACAGGAGAATTGCACTTTGAATTTTTAATTTGGATTGCATTATTCTTTACTGAGTTACAGTAACATAGTGTATACATTAAATATCTTTAGAGATATTTTGAGTTGTAAATGGTGCCCTTGGGTTTTGAAAATCTTATAAACAATAACACATTTTTTAAATGGCAATTTTGTTTAATTTTATAGGTGGCTACAGTCAACGCCTTCCAAATGCAAGTGCTCTGGGGAAAATTTTCACAGCTTTGCCTCTTGGTAACCCCATTTATCAGATGTTAGAATTAAAACTAGCCATGTACATTGATTTTCCCTCACATATGAATCCTGGGATTCTGGTTACCTGCGCAGATGATATTGAACTTTATAGTATTGGAGAATCTGAGTTTATAAGGTTTGATAGACCTGGCTTTACTGCTTTAGCTCATCCTTCCAGTTTGACTGTAGGTACCACACATGGAGTATTTGTCTTAGATCCTTTTGATTATTTAGAACATAGAGACCTTGAATACAGGTCTTGCTATCGTTTCCTCCATAAACCCAGTATAGAAAAGATGTATCAATTTAATGCTGTGTGTAGACTTGGGGATTTTTGTCAACAGGACTTTGTTGGGGGTGACACTGCCTGTCTTAAATTAGACTCTGACTTTGTCTACACCGACAGCCTATTTTACATGGATCATGCGTCAGCAAAGAAATTACTTGCTTTTTATGAAAAAATAGGCACACTGAACTGTGAAATAGATGCCTATGGTGACTTTCTGCAGGCCTTAGGACCTGGAGCAACTGTGGAGTACACCAGGAACACATCAAATGTTACTAAAGAAGAGTCAGAGTTGGTAGATATGAGGCAGAGAATATTTCATCTTCTTAAAGGAACATCACTAAATGTTGTTGTTCTTAATAACTCCAAATTTTATCACATTGGGACAACTGAAGAATATTTGTTTCATTTTGCTTCGGATAGCAGTTTAAAATCAGAGCTTGGCTTACAGTCCATAATTTTTAGCATCTTTTCAGACACACCAGAATGTTCTGGTAAAACATCCTGTATCCTTCAAAGTATACTGGATTCAAGGTGTTCTCTGGCACCTGGCTCAGTTGTGGAATATTCCAGATTGGAATCTGATGTTACAGTTGGGGAAAACTGCATTATTAGCGGTTCTTATATCATAACAAAAGCTGCCCTGCCTGCATATTCTTTTGTGTGTTCCTTAAGCTTGAAGATGAATGGATGCCTAAAGTATTCAACCATGGCATTTGGAGTGCAAGACGACTTGAAAAAAAATGTTAAAGCATTGTCAGATGTGAAGTTACTTCAATTCTTTGGAGTCTGTTTTCTGTCGTGCTTAGATATTTGGAATCTTGAAGTTACAGAGGAACTGTTCTCTGGAAACAAGAAATGTCTAAGTTTGTGGACTGCTCGCATTTTCCCAGTTTGTTCTTCTTTGAGTGATTCAGTTACCACATCCCTAAAGATGTTAAATGCTATTCAGAACAAGTCAGCGTTCAGCCTGAATAGCTATAAGCTGCTATCCATTGAAGAAATGCTTATCTACAAAGATATAGAAGACATGATAGCTTATAGGGAGCAAATTTTTCTAGAAATTAGTTTAAATAAAAAGCAATTGGATTTAGAGATATCTTAACTATTGTATACTTTGCCTTTCTTTAAGCAAGATTCCAAATACAGTTGTTTTCTGTAGACTTTTTTTTTGGATTGTTTCATTGAAGTGAATTAATGAAAATTGTATTAACATAATTGCTGTAGCATGTAGTATAACATGAATAACACAAAAATACAAATGAATTTTTTTAATTTTTAATTTTGATGTGCAGTTATTTCTTTATATCTTTTTTTTTTTTCTTTCAGGGTATTATGAGGGTACAAACATTATGGTTACACTTTATGTCTTTGCCTCACCCAAGTGTGGGTTAAAGGCATGCCCTTCCCCCCTACAGTGCTCCCCGTGTCCTTTAGTTGCGGATTTACCCCCCCATCCTCCTAATCCCTGGAGAGTATTACTGCCATGTGAGCACCCTAGTGTTGATCAGTTAGTACCAACTCGATGCGAGTACAAGTGGATCCAGTTCTTCCGATCTTGTGGTGCCTCACTTTGGATAATGGGCTTAAGTTTAATCCAGGAAAGTATAAGAGGTTCTAGATCACTGTCGTTTCTTATGATTGAATATATTGCATTGTATACATATACCAAATTTTAATAATCCACTCATGGATTGACGGGCACTTGGGTTGTTTCCACATCCTTGCAATAGTGAATTGTGTTGCCATAAACATTTGGGTGCAGATGTCTTTATCATAGAATGTTTTGTGCTCTTTTGGGTAGATGCCTAATAGTGCTGTTGCTGGATCGAATGGTATTTCTATTTCTAGCTCTCTGAGGTATCTCCAAATTCTTTTCCACAGAGGTTGCACTAATTTGCAGTCCCACAAATGAACATTTTTTGATAGAAGAATATTTCAAGACTTTAAGTTCAGAAAAGAGAGACTTTTTTTGATGTTTATCACTATTTCAATTTTCTTAATGATGGATTTGTGGAGCATTATTTTGTTCACATATTAAATACTCTAGTAGTTTAAAAGGAAATTTTCTAAATATACATTAAGAATTTTTCCACCTTCTTTTGGGCTTTGGTTCCGATAAAGTTTTAAGTATTTATTGACAATTATCTCCTTAAATATTGTCCTATTTTGACAAATTAATAAAAATGGCATTTCTAGGGTCTTCAGAGTACTGTAGGAATATGATAGAAACAATTTTTCAGAAATAAATCTATAGCTGACAAATTCAGGTTAAATGAATGCTTAATGTGTTGTGATTATTTTAGTTGATAAATAACTACATACAAAGAACTATAAAATTGATAAAAATTTGTATCTCATTTATTGATCTTATGAAAATAAAAGTATGCATATACTTGAACATGTGTTTGCATATCTTATAAATTTTCCCTAAATCTCTATTCCACAGGAAAACCAAAACATACACACACAAAACTCAAGTAATATATGGAGAAGGTGGTAGGAATAATTGAGTTTGTGAACTGCTTGCATTTTCCCAGTTTGTTCTTCTTTGAGTGATTCAGTTACAACATATCTAAATATGTTAAATGCTATTCAGAATAAGTCAACATTCAGCCTGAATAGCTATAAGCTGCTGTCCATTGAATAAATGCTTTTCCACAAAGATACAGAAGACATCATAGCTTATAGGGAACAAATTTTTCTAGAAATTAGTTTAAATAAAAAGCAATTTAATGAGGAGACTAATTTAATGACACTGTGGACATTATATTCACCATCTCCTATTAATCCCTCTAACAGAACTGTTAAATTGCTAGATGGACTGATTTAACTTTCCATTTCTTATTTTCTGTCCACACACTGGTGTTACTGAGAAGCAATACTTGGCCAAAAGGTAGACAGCAGGAGGAAGGCAGAATAGAAAAACTGACATGATACACACATGATTAAACAGCTTCAGGAAAATAAAAATTGGCCGGAATCCCAAGTTATGTGTTCCTACTTTGGTATGAGCATGTAAGTGAAATGTCTTCATATCAGAGCCTAATAATTAATTAGAGATGATATTTGTCAGAGTTTCCTGTTTTAAATTAAGATGAATATATTGAAATAAGAACTGATCTGTGCCATTTACTTGTATATTAACATGTCAATATAAAAATAATTGGTAAACTAAAAGTGATTTGTCTGCAGCCCCTCAATTATGGTACGTGTATATGTTTCCTTTTTTCAAGGTTCTTCCCAAGGAAAAAGTGAAAGTACAGTGTTAGTTATTGTTTAACATTTATTGGTATACTTGCAGAGCTTTCAGAGGATGTTATATATTTGTCATTCATTAAATGTTCAGTATTGTAATTTTACCTAATCCGAAGTGCCGTCAGTTATAAGCATCGCCATTATTTTATGTTCCACTAAGAAAGAGAAAACACTACCAATAAAATGACACAGCTTTTTCTTTGTTACTTGAAATATTTATATTCATTGGAGATCTTTTAGATGCATTTAAATGTAGATTTGTATCATTTAACCCTCTTGCATACACATATAAGGTAAGAACAAAATGAAATATTGAGATATCATCAAGACATTTCTAACAGCTTCACATTCTTCCTGACTCTTTGGAAGAGTCAAACTCTTCTGAAGCACTTGCATCTCAGAGTTGTTGATATCCTTATGTCCACCCAGTACCATCTTCTGTGCTATTAAAGTTACTGATAAGGCTGCATTTCCTAAGAGTGTCCTACCTCACTGCCATCTGGGTTTTTCCCCAAGCCGCAGAGCCAGAGGCCTGTTCTGCAAGTTTTGATGCTGATGTTTTACTATTTGACAAAACTCAGTTTCATTTTTGCCTGTTTAATCACATGTCCCTAGAAGGTAGGTAGTTTCTATTCAAAGTCAGCAGGAGATTTCTGACTAATTGATGTCTTATTAACATGTCAGTATGAAAATAATTGGTAAACCAGAAGTAATTTGTCTGCAACCCTCAATTATGATATATTGATCGTGTGTGTGTGTGTTTTCTCTTTTCAAGATTCTTCCCAGGAAGAAAATATGTGGTAGCTATTGTTTTATTGTTTAATATTTATTTATTTACTTGCAGAGCTTTCAGAGGATGTTGTGCGTTTGTCATCCATTAAATGCTCAATACTGTATTTCACCTAATAATAATCCTTCACGATGAGTGGATTCTAGTTGCTTTGAAATGGTATCTGTTCAAAGGATTTATTAGTATATTTGGCTTGAGATGTATTGTTTGGTGTGTAGTAGCACATATGTACCACCAACAGTGTATATAACTGAAGTGACAATCACATGCACAGCTATGACCAAGTTCACATATTAGCAGATAACTCCATGACTATTGCTGCC